ACATATCTCCAAGGAGATTTAAATATCTTTTCTGGCCATCCTTAACTGCATTCCCAGGTCACAAGCAGGAGCTGGATGGGAAACGGGACCGCTGGAAGTAAAACTGGCGCCCATATGGGATCCTGGCATGTTCAAGGTGAGGGCTTCAACTGCAACGCTATTGCGCTGGACCCCCCCAAATTTACTTATTTTCATTGGAAAGGCAGATATACAGAGAGAAGGAGAATCAGAAAGACCTTCCATCCACTGGTTCACTTCCCAAGTGGCCACATCAGCTGGAGCTATGCTGATCCGAAATCTGGATCCAGGAACTTCCTCCAGGTCTCCCACATGGGTGCTGGGTCCCAAGACTTTAAAAACCATCCTTCACTGCCTTCCCAGATCACAAGCAGACAGCTGGATGGGAAGTGGAACAGCCAGCACATGAACTGGCACCTATATGGGATCCTGGTGCGTGCAAGGAGGGGATTTTAGTCACTAGGCTATCGTGCCGGGCCCTCTGTATATATTTCTAAATTAGTTTACCTAAATATGCCTATCATTTCCTGATGCACTTCAGTAAGAAGACAATCCTCTAGTCTCACCATATCTACGTCAAATTGATCATACTGGGGGTGTCTCATTTAACGGAAGAACACATCAGTCTTCATATTTCGGTTTCATGACATATCAGCATGGTCCTAAAATGCTAGTGACCCCTAGGTGTTCAAGTTCTACAAAACAGATTGACATGTGCAAAATAAACAGAACACTATCTGATTTAAGCCTCCTCAAAGTGGGTCAGATGAACAGGGAGGTAAAATACTTTAGCTGTTAGTAAAATATAAATACAAAAAAATTACTTTTCCAAGTATAAAGCTAATCAGTATCCAGAATAACTTGGGGAAAACTAATTAAATTTTAAAAACACAAAAAAGGGACACTGTACATCGTTCCATTAGAAAAAGCTTCCATCTAGTCCTGACTCCCTATGTGAGTACACTTCGTGCTAACAGTGTAGTCCACACTTTGCATATCATAAAGAAGGTTCAATGCACGTTTTAAAAATTGTTAAAATATCCAAGGAGGCCTCAAGAATTTCGCAAAGAAATACCCTAAAAGCTAATGTGCATTTTCTATAAACTCTGACACCTCCCTCACACATGACATAAAATTTAACATCTACTGATTAAGAATACTCCACAATGACTCGGCCTGACCCACTTCATCTTCACTGATTCACATACGTCTACATGAAGACTAAGTTATGCATATTCCCATAAGCTGTAAACCCAGAAGAGATCAGGCATAAATCCACAGAAAAGTACTTTTGAAAACACAAGCTTTTATTAAAAAATTAAATATGATCAATACTTCTCTAATTTTTCAGTTTGCTTTGCTGATATAGAAGTGATACCAAGTAACAGGACACTAAGAAATGTGGAAAGAGTGAAGATAACATTTTTAGATTACAGCATCTTCAACTGCTTTACCAGTTGATTCAATGACTTGAACAATGAATAACAACTAGGGAAACATTCCACAACTTCCGTTTCTCAAACACAATCTGGTTACAGGTAGCTACTTCATAGTGTATACTGGTACAACTTTCATCTCCCCTGTATTTTCACCACATGAAAACCTTAAGCAAAAAACAGATCTCACAGACAGTAAGACACATGTTGTGACTGAAAAATAAACATGCCACTGATGTATTGTTGTATGTTTGTTCGGTGATCTTTCACACAGAAAGTGGGTCCCGTGAGGTTGGGCTCCACCCTGCAAAATTCAGTCTTGCGTGCCAAGGTGAGAATCAATGTGAGCCAGGCAGAGCTAACTCTTCAGACCATGTTTTAAAATTTAAAATTCAAATATTATCTTAGAACAAACTACACAACATGTATTTTTCATGTTAGGAAGTTCAGAAAAGAGATGTTGACATTTACATACATACACAAACAATAGAATAAAGACAAAAATCAATCATCGGCAGGGACAGGGACAGGAACTGCACGAAAAGATGCTTGGAAGCAAGACTTCAGCTGTATAACTTTTAATTTTTGAACTATAGAATTCACTACCATGCAAAAGTAAAACAAGAGTAGTATTTTACTGAAGATACGAGTCTTAAAATTCTCTTTCAAATCTTCTTCCAATTTCATCAGACCTTCTGAAAGAACTGAAGTTTCTGACAAAGAAGGAATTTCTATCACTCGTACAAGATTTTGGGAAACATGTTTCTGATCAGCTAGACCACAATTAATAAAGGACTTATGAATACCTATCTCAATGTATTTCACTTCTTGAACATTACAGAAACTTCTTGAACATTATTATGATTAATCCATAATAGCTGATCGAAAGGCATCAGTTTGAAAACTTTCATATGAATGTGTACAGTTCAGCTTTAACACACAGTCACTTCACATCCAATACTTAAAACCAAATCTTGCTCAAACTGATACTTCTGTGACCAAAGAAAACAACTTTAATTGATAAGTTCAACATTCCCTGCACACTTGTTTTACTTCCATGAAAACGATGGCCCCAGGAAGTCACCTGACTCCTTTTCCCTGCTGTTTTCTGTAAGCTTGGATAAACATATGAAAGAACAGCAGACACCGTGATAGTGAGTATGGTCAATGTATCAGAAATTTAGGGATGGGGGGGTTGGGAAAACAGAAAGGGCTTTGGAGTTAGTCCTCAGTTTGAGCCTGATCTCCTTCCTGTTGTTGCAAGTCAAATTACTTTATTTTGGAAACTCAGTTTCTTTGATGAGAAAGAGAAGTTCCCAGCAGCTAACACAAAGATCATCAGAATGAAATGAACTGTCCACACTGCCAGATCCTGACCTATTCTGGAGGACTTGCTACAGGAGGCAACAAGCCGGAAGGGAAAGTGCTCCTGGGTGAATGTTTCTAAAGTCAAAGGGAAGAAACACAGCAGAAAACAATCTAAAATGGCATGGAGGACAGACTTTTCTGTGGTTCATATGGGTTTTAGGCACAGAAAATAGCTGTTTTTCTTTTTTAACTTAAATATCTTGATTTACCACCCCCGTTCTGTTAGCTCACTCACTAGCCTGGATCAGTTTTTTAAATGTTCTAGGGAAAATGTTCTAGGTAAACAAAGACCAACAAATGCAAGAGTGAAAGTATCTGAAGTGAGTACTAAGCTTAGAAATCAACGCAAGCATATAGAAATCAACGCAAGCATATAGAAATGTTTTCTTTCTGAGTGAAAGACGATCACATCTACACTTTTATTAAAATGAAAAGCTGACTTCAAAACAGATCTTAAGATTCTCAGGTAACCACGGGTTTAGCTGGAAAAAGAACAGGAACATAATGCAATAACTGAGATTTAAAAAAAAAATCCTCTGACAAACTAATCAGCTTTTCCTTTGCATTTAAGTGTCTTATAGGTTGCAACAATTTGAAAATATTATTGAATATACTGTATCACAGACACAGTATAGAAAACAGATTTTCTTAGATTTGGTCGTGACCATCCATTATACAGTAGAGGGGGCTAGAAAAAATAATTAAAACAGGTTACTAGTTGCCTTTTTAATATCAGTACCTTTTACTTCTTCCTATTATGGGAGGGATAAGCTTTTAGCCCCCTAAAATATCACTTTTCTAAAGTATAGCCATAAAGATAGTATAGAGTGACAAGAGGAATTAATTTAAAAAGTAACTGGGAGATAAGAATTGGCAACAAAACCTCTAGAACACAATCACTTTCTCGTTAGAAAATAATCCCAGGAAGTTTTTGACCCTCAGACACCCTGTGAAGATGCTCACTGCCCTCACAGTCTCAGTATCTCGCTTTCTAAAGGCACTGCCCACTGGAAAAGGCTGCAGCAGAGGAAGCTGAGCTCACAGAAACGATTCTTAGCATTTAGGGAAACCTGAGGGGCTTCCTACCTGCCTAGTGTCTGTCTGTCTGTCTGTCTGTCTGTCTCTGTCTCCTCTTTCCTTCCCAGTCTGGAGCAGAAAGGAAGCAAGGGGAATTTATTTTTAATACTTTCAAAATAAATCCTGCACTCTGGGTCCACAATTTGATCCAGTTCTACAGCTGGGTTACCTGAGAGAAGCTAAGGATTTCCCTGAGGAACCCACCCCCCCACCCTTTAGAACTTAGAATTGTGAGCAAAACTGCCTGGGAAGTAAGACTGTCTATGGATTGACTATTTGTTTAAGCTTCTGCCTGCAGGCAGTGAACTGTGACACCATTTAGCCATTGCAACATTTTAAAAGAGTGTGTCTAAAGAATACAGTGTGTTTTGAAATAAAGCCTGACTTCCCACACTGGTCTGCTCTGCTGATGGACACAGCTCAAGGCAGATCAAGGGGTCAGTTAGGGCCCCGGTGCTTAAATTCACCCCCCCCCCCTGTTAATTGGGAGCTTGTTTTGCATTCTTTTAAGTTTGATTTTTATCAAATTAAACGAACTCCTCCTTCCCCAACATGTTCTCAGGAAGCCTGCTTTTCAATCAGAATTCTCTATGGCTTTGTCAGCCTCCTGGTCACTTGCTTCCATGCATTTCTTTTTATTTATGCAAGTTTCTCAACAAATCAAGCATAATATTTTCATGCTGATCCTGGTCACTGAACTGCTTGGTGGCAATTTCCCATAGTTTATCGGTGACATTTGTATAAAAAGCGCTAATTTCACAGCCCAAGAAGGAAGGCTTCCTCCTTCTGGGTCCCCAAGCTGTTAGACTAGCTGCCAATTAAAAACGTACTTTCAACTCACAATTATCTTTCACACACACCATTCTGGAAATCCTATCTAGGGAGCAAACTATGACTTTGTCCGAATTCACAGATGACAGCTGCGGCGGTGCGCTCTCGAAGCGCAATTGCCTTCAAGCTTTGTCAGATGAAAGAACAAAAGGCAGCGCGTCCTCCCCAGCCCCTCCTAGTGCTCGAGGACGGCAGGCTGGGAAGAGTCCCCGGGGCTGGGCGGCCGCACCGGCCAGCGCGCCCCTTCACACACACACCGCTCCGACCCACCTTGGATAGCTGCCTCCTGAGGCTAAAGCGCTGGACCATGGTCACCCTGACGTTCCTCCGACAAGCAATCCACAAAGGGAGGGTTTTTTGTGTTTTTTGCCTTTTTTTTTTTTAACAAGCAGCTTCTGGCCAAAATCGGTGGCAAAACATTTTGAAGACTGACAAACTACAAAGAATTTTCCCCACGAGTCTTAGCAAACTTGGAAGCACTTCATTGTTCCACCCGGAGACGCGCAAAAAACCCACTCCAGGGGACGGGCCAGCGAGGAATCCCGGAACGGCGGCGCGCAGTGCCAAGCTCTAGGAGCACTTCCTGTGAGTCAGCTGTGAGGGGTCCAGCCCAAGGACCACCCCTTCCCTTTCCAGCAGACCGTCAGGCGAGGATGCGGCTGCACTGCCACCTGAGACTCCAGCGGGGGGGCGGACCTGATGTTCTGGTCAGTCCGGGAGGAGGAGTGGCGTCCAGGTCAGAGAGCATCCGCCTGGCTCCTACCCTATTCCTCCCGTCCGGACCTGCCGGCGGGGGCGGCAGCTGCACGGACCGACACCCTCTTCTCACCCTCCAACTCAGGTAACCGGCTGGGAGCAGCACCATGGGGGAAAGCGCAAGCTGGGGACTGCACCAGCTCCCTGCTCAAGAAGGAAACCCCTCCCTGCCGAGCTCGGCAGCTGTGCTCTTTGTCTGGCATAACTGGCCGAGCCTTTCCTCTTATTCACAGGGAGGGGTCCTGGCTGGAGAAGGAATGTCAGGTGCAAAGCATACTCGGACAGTGACTTCAGCCCCGTGCCCAACTGGAATATACCAAGAATGCCTCCTGAGATAACTACCCTCTCTTTTTGGAACAAAGTGATTTAAAAATGTACACGTGAAACAATAGGAACATTTCAGATTCAGTGCAGGTAAACAGGTATGGAAAACGACAGTCACCAGTGCAGCATCAAAGTTAAAATCATCTGCCTCTGATTCTTGTCTGGGTGTTTCTAGGCAACTGCTGTCAAAAGAAAGCTTTATTAAAACTTTCCACTATTTGTGCTCCTTTCGGATTTGCTGATTAATTCTGAACAAATTTAGTAACTGACTGGAGCAACATTTGTTGACATGTTATTTTTTTCTCCTACTCCAGTGCCTCTCAATTTCCTGGGAGTACAATTAGGTCTTACACTGCACTGACAACCTCTGATGGAATGACCTACTGTGTGCAGTCACTGTGTTAACAATGCCTCATATTTCTTTCACTGATTTCTCAAAAACAATCCTGCTAAATCAGTGTTATCCCAATAAGCAGGAATCCTCCTAAAACCTCAGCATTTTTGTAGCAAAATCACATAATGTTACTGATTTTTGTCTTCAGGCAAAAAAAAAAAAAAAAAAATGGGAAAGCAAAAGACGGATCTTATGCACCCTCCAAAATGCCCAAATCACATACTGCTGGATTTTACTTATCATAAGAATATTATTTGAGATTCACCTAAAAAAAATTCACACACACTCACCTGTCTCATAGGAAAAACAAAGATGCTAAAAGTTCAATGAGTATGCCAAGAAAGTCACTATAACCAGCACCCATATATCACACTTCACAATCTTCAGCACCAAATGGCTGAACTTCAGTGTTTAATACTACTGAGTAAGGAACAGTGCTGGCACAAAGGAGGGAATGATGAGCTTTGGGACAGGAAAAGTTTTAAAGCTGGTATCTTTAAGGCTGTGTAGGAACTGCAAGTGAGCAAAATGGGGAAAGGACATTCCATGAGATGAAATGAATACTAGGCAAGACACTAAGGTGTAAAACAAGAATGAAGTAAATAGTTTTTCCACACTCACAAGGCAATGTATTATTAACCAAGAGTGTTCAGGAAGTTTCATCTACATGCACTGTGAATGCAAATAGTAACAAAATTATTCCCTTTTGAAATATTTTGTTTTTGAAATTTTGCATGTGTTTTTTTTACATTTTTACGAAATACCTAAATGTAAACACCTCAGCATTAATAAATGGTAATGTGATAGGTTCTCAGTGTTTCTACCTACCTTTTAAAACAAGGGAAGAAATCTACTTTCAAAATTTCACTCTAATGTTGCCAGTTTCTCAATGGTAATTCATGCTCCTTAAATGATGTGGCATTTTTGTTTCAAAATTTTTCTTTTGGCAATCTTACACAGATAATACAGCATTTTACCCACCTGAATAACAGATTAAGTGTATTAAGCATCTATTTACAAAAGCCCAACCAACCAAATTAACTTTGAAAATAGTATAATTTATTTAGCAAGAACTTCAAATATACTGAAGAAAAAAATCTGAGACCCCCCAAGGGTGCCCAATTCCATAACTAAATGCTGTAAAGAGGAAAAACACTTGTCAAGTAAGATTCTCATAACATATGGACAGGATTCCTTCAACCACAGTAAGCTTGCTTCCTTTCTATCTCTAAAATTGTATGCACTTTTCATTGTTTTTGAAAAGCAGAGAAGCAGAGTCTCCCCTGGCTAGCTCACTAGTGGACTGGGTCAGGCTGAAGTCAGGAGTCCCACATGGGTGCCAGGGACCAAAGTACCTCGAGCCATCACCCACCACCTCCTAGCCTGTGCACAGCCATGATGCAGCACTGGAGCATAGTAAACTGGGCACGCAGGTACTGAGGCACACCACAGGCATCCCAAGCGGCTACTTGACTACACTGTCACACACCTGCCCGGTCTACTTTTTAAGGTTTTATTTTTATTTGGAAGGTAGAGTTAGAGAGAAGGTGAGATGGCGGGAAGGAGGAGGAGGGAAAAAGGGAAAAAAGGAAAAAGGAAGGAAGAGAGAAAATCTCTTCTACCCCCAACTGGCTGCAGCCGGTGGGCCAGAGCTGAGAAAATCCAAAGCCAGGAGCTTCTTCTGAGCCTCTCACTTAGGTGCAGGGTCCCAAGGACCTGGGCTGTCCTCCACTATTTTCCCAGGTTTTTAGCAGGGAACATGGAACAGCAGGGACACAAACCAGTGCCCATTTGGGATACCAGCACTGCAGGTACAGGATTAGCTTGTAATACCATAGAGCTGCCTGTCCACCTCCATCCCACCCTGTTTGCTTTTGGGTGCTGAATTCTTTCCTCCTAAAAAGTCAAGCCATCCAACAACAGCAGTAATGCATTTAAGGAAGGAAAGAATGGAATGATGGAGAAGTATAGGGTAGCCCAAGAGTCTATGCTCAGATTCTTACATCCAGGCAATTAACCATCCAAAAAGGTTACTGCCTAGACTACAATATATTTATCAAACATGCAATTTCCATACCCTCTTTTTATCATTTCTCATCAAAGTTATGCCAAGACATTAAATTTTCTAACGATGTTCTTAAAATCATTTTTTCAAGATTTTCTAGGAAGAAGGAGCCTCTTAACATTAAGCACAGATCTTATGCATACAGCATGACTTTGTGTATGTGAATGCACATTGCCCCAAAATGTACTGCTGCACAAAGAGAAGGGCATTCAAGTTTTTTTGAAAACAAAATTAATAGTTTGATATAACCCGTGTATAACTTTTCATAACATATCAAGTAATTTATATGGCACAAAAAGAAACAGGAAAACATGGACCAATGAAAGAACAAAGTAGGGCCCAGCACGATGGCGCAGTGGTTAAGGTCCCCGCCTTGCAATCACCAGGATCCCATATGGGCGCCGGTTCTAATCCTGGTGGCACCGCTTCCCATCCAGCTCCCTGCTTGTGGCCTGGGAAGGCAGTTGAGGACAGCCCAAAGCTTTGGAACCCTGTACCCACATGGGAGACCCGGAAGAGCTCCTGGCTCCTGGCTTTGGATCGGCTCAGCTCTGGCCGTTGCGGCCGCTTGGGGAGTGAATCATCGGACGGAAGATCTTCCTGTGTCTCTCCTCCTCTGTGTACATCTGCCTTTCCAATAAATAAATCTTACAAAAACAAAACAATATTTAAGACTTAACAGATTTCCTTTACTGAAATCAAGATTTGGAACATCAAGTCTAAATATCTAAAATCAATTTTTTACAACATTATTTTGGGGCAAGTATTCAGCCTAGCAATTAAGATGCTGGTTGTAATACCTGCATTCTGCATTGGAACATCTGAGTTCAAAACTTGTCTCCCCTTCTGAGTCTAGCTTCCTGCTAATGCTTACCTTGGGAGTCAACAGGTGATGGCTCAACTAACTGGGTAGCACTGCCCATGCATGTGAAATGTGAATTCAATTCCTAGCTCCTAACTTCCGTCTGGCCCAGACCACCATTTGGGAAGTAAACCATTGGATAGGAGCTCTCTGTCAATATAAAAAATAAAATAAAATAAAATAAAAATTCTGGGCTGCAGCTGTGGCATAGCAGGTATGGCTGCCGACCCAGGGGCCGACATTCCATGTGGGCACCGGCCCCAGTCCCAGCTGCCCCACCTCCCTCCCAGCCCCTGCTCCCAGCTCCCTGCTGTGGCCTGTGGAAGCAGCAGAGGACCGATGGCCTTGGGTCCCTGCATTCACATGGGAGTTGTCGTGGCAATCTGGGGAGTGAACCAGGGGATGGAAGATTTTCTCTCCCTAACTCTACCTTTCAAATAAAATAAACAAATCTTTTTAAAAATAATAATAGTAAAGGCCAGAATTTGCTGCAACAGTTGGGATTTTAGCTTGGGTTCCCTGCATCCCATACTGGAATTAAAGTTCCAGTTCTGCTTCCAATTCCATCTTTTTTGTGTGTGCTTTGAAAAACTAGAGGCTGAGACTAGTTTTCATAAACTCATTTACAAAAAATAAAGTTTAAAATGTTTAAAAGTTTTAAAATGCCTGCATCGCACATAAGGAGGTGTGGGTTCAATGCTAGCCTCCTGCTACTATGGACCGTGGAAGCAGTGGAGCCATGTCAGCTCTGAGGGGCTGTGGATGGAGTTCCTGGCCTCAGCTTTGGTCTGCTGGCATGGGGGGGGGGGCGAGAACCAGCAATGAGAGTGCTCTTTCTCTCCGCCTCTCAAATAAATCAATATTGAAAAGACAGTATCAGAATAGAATATTTACAAAGTGAACAACAACAAAAGGACCACCGGGTATGAATCATTAAGGAGAAACAGGTGGAATACTGATAGGAAAATATCTATACTAATTATACAACCAAGAATGGCTGTGATATTCCCTCCGCGAGCATCATGACAGTTTTCTAAGTTTTGTTTATGTTTGTTTGCCATTTCAAGGGTAGCAATTTTTTTTCATGTCATTTTCAGGTGAAATCCACAGAAATATTTAACAACTGTTTACCCAGCAAAGTCCAAATGTAACAAAATGAGTTATGCATTTGAATGGAGAGACTGGATTTTTAAATGTTATTTAAAAAAACACTAGAGTGACAAATCTTCACAATGATGAAAACACAATATGAAAGTCAAATCTGTCCTGGATTATTATAGCAATCCACAAACCTCCGCACCCCAACGCAAAAGGTCCTCCAGACAAGCAGGTATTACCGCCACTAGCATGGGAGCCCAGGCAGGCCTAAAGGCTGAAGCTTAAACTCTCTTGAGCCACAATCTCTCTTGAGCCACAATCAGAACCTACAGCCTTTATTCTTATCCTCACAGAACTAAACTTCTGACCGTGGGAAACAGCCTGCATTCCATTCTTATGCAGGGAATCTTAAACAAGTTCATCCTACACTTTTAGTCCCTCTGGGCAAACATTCCTAAAACAACATGTAAATCTCTAGAGTATTTATCTGCCTAGACCAATTTTGATTCTGAATGCAGTAACTCATCACAATTCATGCAATCATATGACACCCAAGGAACATGGAAAACATGATAAAGGTGATTAAAGAAATGTTTCATTATAAATAATCATTTTTCAGGAACAAAATTGGGTAGTCTCACCACCCCTTTTTATG